CCCCAAAACCCCAAAACCCCAAAACCCCAAAACCCCGTTGAACTTACATTTGCTAGACTAAAACTAATAGAGGGTTAATAAATTATTATATAAAAATGCTAGCAAAGTATTTACTTTTTTCCAATCAAAGGAGCATATTGAAAAGTACCATATTCAAATTCAGCTCAGCTTAGAAATAGAACACAGATATTATCACTAAAGTATAAATATCTGTGTATCATAAGACCTTATACAACTTCTTATCAAAGCTAAACTAATAAAATGTAGATCTAGACTAATAATATTTGGACTTGACAGTAAAAAGTGCTGATGATTAAAGTTAATAAATCTAGGAGCAATTGTCTAGTATGCGAAAGCAAATGACTAAGCTAAACATTTACAGTAAATTATTTGTCGATCTTCATAAGACTATTGAGTCCTTGAAGGCTTGCCAAGAAATCAGAGATGATCCTAGAGAAGACAAAGAAATGAGGAAATTAGCAGAGGAAGATCATGAAATCATAATGGAGTAATTAGATGAATTGCAATTTGAAATTGAAGAGGCAATAGTACCTCAGAATGAAGTTGATAAAAAGAACTGCACCATTGAAGTCAGATAAGCTGCTGGAGGTAGTGAATCTAGTTTGTTTGCTGAGGATCTGCTTAATATGTATAAGGCATTTTGCTAAAAGAAAGGATTGAAATGCATATAAGAGGAATTTATGCAAGACATTGCGATTGGAAAAGGGTGTAAACACGCACTTTGCAAAATTATAGGAGAAGACGCTTATAAGTACTTTAAGTTTGAGGCAGGAGTTCATAAGTAAACTATCATTGTAACTCATCTTTAAATATAGAGTTTAGAGAGTGCCTGAGACTGAGAAAATGGGAAGAATGCACTCAAGCACTGTCACATTGGTGGTAATGCCAGAAGTCCCAAGAGAATTTCACATTGATGAAAAAGATATTAGAATAGATACTTATAGAGCTTCAGGTGCTGGAGGCTAGCATGTTAACAAAACGGATAGTGCTGTAAGAGCAACACATATTCCCACTGGCATTATTGCTACATGTTAAGATGAGAGGACTTAACATTCCAATAAGGCTAGAGCCCTTGAGAATTTAAAACAAAGACTCTATTAAGCTTTTGTTGAGAGAGAAAACAGTAAAGATTAAAAAGCTAAAAAAGATTAAATGGGTACTGGTAATCTAGGAGAAAAAATTAGAACATACAATTGGCCTAGTAATAGAATTACTGACCATAGATTAGGGGTATCAAAGTTCGGTATTGAGGAAATGCTCTCTGGAGATCTATTAGAGGAATTCAGTGATGAGTTATTAGAGCAAGAAAGAAGTCAGAAGCTAAAACATATTTTTGGAGATTCCGAAAAATCAAGTCAGTGATTCATATACCCTATCTAATTAACCTATTAATATTAAATCTTTGCTAAAGAATATTAAAGTTAGTTATGCAAACATTAAAATCAGTATTAAGCTTAAAATGTACTCAAACATTTCATAAATCTAGGAAAACTTTGTTCACAAATTCTTAAAGTTATCTATGTCAATCTTAGTTGATTAGACCAGTAAATTTTTTCCCGTACTTGACTCTAGCGTCTTTCAGCTGCTTTATTCTGCTTTTACTCTCTAGCGGATTCACATCCTTTTGGAAGTATTTGAGTCTGAATTCATTGAAGTTGTTAAACCCGAATATCTTGTCATCTTTTTGCTTTTACAGCTCTTTTAATTTTTACTTCGCTTCATCCTCAGGAATTTCTCCCAATTTCTAGGATTGGTTCGTATTTCTCTTTTGCTTATTATTCTCATCAATCACCTCTCTTTCTATTACCTCAACCTATGTTTCAAAGACAGTACCTCCACCGACAGTCTCTCTAATGATTCTTTTCTTTGGCTGCTATGTAAATGCTAGTTACTTAGCTTCAGACTTTTACTTTAGCTCCTCCTGCCTGGACTGTTATTCAATTGATTAAATATGACTTTCAATTTATAGATCTTAGTTGAGAACTTAAAACTGTTCTTATGATATATTACTTTTATCCTTAGTTCCAGTCTTATTATAATCTTCGACTTGATCATCTTTAATATTTATGATATCACTAGTATCTTCTTTTTTGATCTTGTCTTTATCTGCATCAATAGTTGAATTTTGCTTGACCACTGGAAAATCAATATCCTGTTTAGATTGTAGATGTTCTGGAGTAATTGATGTTGCCACTCCAGGCTTCATGTTCTAGTCCATCATTCTTTTTAAGTCTTGAGCTTAGTGCTAGAAGTTCAATATCTAGTTAAACTTAGGTGATAGCAGTGGGTTGTTTCTCAATAACGGCCTACCCTATACTCCTGTGATTTAATCATAATCTGAATAATATGCGTCTATTTCATCATCATTCAAGCTAGATCTTCGCCCTTCCCTAGATCGTCTTTCACCTTTTTTCAGTATAGACCTTGGTATTAATATATCGTTGTTAATTTTGATTTCATTACCATTGTAGAGATTATTTTGTGCAAGTAGGAATCTGTAGAAATCGTTTTTATTCTTCTTTTTCTCATTATTCAAAGGTATCTCCGTGGATTTATTAATGTCAACTACATTTGCCCCTTTTACTCTCAGGCCTCTATTAATATAATCAAAATCTGCCTTTCCGATGTCTAAAAATCTCAATATATTCTCAAAACTCCTATCACCGTGCTTAAGAGGCAGAATTTGCTGCGATTCCTGGTGAGTTGGAGCAGGCAATTTTAAATTTATCTATTTTACCTAATCCAATATTTGACTATCTGTTGCAGGGTTGTTGCTATTGTAGAACAGCTGAGTTGAATCAATAAAACTTCTCTTCTTCTATTATTTACTATTTGCAGCAGAACTAAAGTTATAGATCTTTGCCTGCAAAGGTCTTCGATCTTTGAAAGTGTCTAATCCATGAGTAAATGAGTTGTTGCTATTTCCTGCTGTATTAATTCCTCTTTTTGACTCATAGTCATTAATATCGTGATAGAGTCTCTCTTGTTACTACTCATAGTTCTATTTAATCAAGTCACACCTCATTATTATTTCTCTTGTTCTGTCACCTATTGTTACTGGCCTCCCTCTCAAAGGCATATTAAACGTTTCGATGAAATTTCGGGGATTTTGTGCAGAATTGAGTGAATTAACACCCCTAACTCTGTTTGTTGGTTATGAATTAATCGTATTTATTTTTCGTTTCAATTTTTAACTTTCAACTTTAGCCCTATTATTTTGAAAGCCCACCAAACTAGCGTTAGTATCTAGCTATTGATTGTTTTACCAAACCTCTGGTAGTTGAAAGTTGTTACTAGTCGGTGCTCCAATCAAGAAATTGGTTCTTTTCTGCCTGATTTTAAGATCTATATTTATATTAGGCACAAAAAGTCTTTTTAACTTTGACTACTCTGCTAGCCTGCTTTCCTAATTATTCATTATAGTCAAAACCTCTGAAGGCTTTTTTCTCAAATTAAGCCCAGCAGTTTTATCTTCAGAATTCACATTAATTTGATGGCCATATAGCTACTATTACCGTCCATATATCAACGATCGTGTACTGCTTATCGGCGAACTCACTTTTTATGTTGTTATTGGCTAAGTCTATGCTTAAGGAAGTCTCTCCTAAGAACTGACTTTTGAATTTAAGTAGTCATTATTAGGGTTAGAAATATTTTCAAGAATTTTAAGGGCAATAGAATTATCATTTAGCTAGTTTGAGTCCTCCTCTCTTTAAGAAAAATCAGCTGACATTATAATTTGTCTAATTTATATTTGTAGATTTTATTTTACCCAATTTAATGCCTAAGTTAAAACCTATGGGGTTTTGGGGTTTTGGGGTTTTGGGG